GTCTCTTGGAGGAGAGACGAAACGTTTCATTAGAGAAGAACCCGTCCAGAGGACCTATACAATTTTTTTCTTTTTGGTGATAAGCATTCATTCAAGGAATCCTTATTTTATTCAAACTTTTAATAAAAACAACTAGTTTACAGGCAAATTAAAACATTGGTAACCTAACTGGTGTGTGTTATAACTGGTGGTGTCCCGGTACTGATAGTGGTATCAGTGTCTCACTAGTCCAACTCAGTAATCCAGGTAGAAAAATCAAAAAGAAAAAATAAGTAGGTCCTCTGGATGCATTCTTGTTTAATGAAATGTTTCGTTTCTCCTCTTCAGTCTGAGGAGAGTTCACCTGAAACTCCTCAGACTGAAGGAGTCTCTTTGAGGAGAAACGTTTAGAAACCATCCAGAGGACCTACTTATTTTTTCTTCAAATTCATTCAAATCTGGTACAATTTACATTTTGAGTGAAACATTTTATCAGTTCCATGTTTAAGAAATTTATACAAGTTGAAAAAAAATTGATTAGGACTCCCGCTATGCAAAGCACAGAAGCACAGGCTGCACCGAGCAGCATGAAATTAGGTAGGAATACAGATGTGGCCGACCTACACTGCACAAGCCGGTGCTATTTGAAAATCTGGTGTCTGGACTGTAAACTCAAAACTATTCAACATTCAGATTTTTGGTTTTGGTTTTTCTATGCGACTGTCACCTAGCAGCAGGCAAAACAATCAAAACACAAGTGAAAATTATTATTTCGAGCCTGTACACTCATGAACATGATCAGATCTTGATGAAATTTGGCACAACTGTCCCCATATGCATGTTCATTAACTCCACCCAAAATGTTTTCATTTCATTTTTTTCATTTCCACATTTGTAAAACATCTACAGTACAATTTCCTGGAAATATAAGTACATTAATGACATCACGCATGTGAATGTGGTTTGTTTCGTTATCGCTCTACTCAAATAGATTATCGAGAACAGTTGTGTTTTCATCAACAAGCTGGTTTTATTTGGAATGGCCTTTCCAAAGTCACTTCTCTTCACTGTGTAATGTTTAGGCTCTAACACAGTAAGTACTTTTTTATTGGTACTCCTTATCGACAAGTACCCAAACTGAAGTACTTGCATTAGTATTTTTATTTTTATTTATTTATTTTATTTAAAAAAAAWTTTTTAGAAAAACTGGCATTGGGACACCTCTAATTATAATACATTCAATAAAATATAAAATGATTGACACAAATATACAAAAAGGTGCATTCAAAAATGTGAAATGCTCAATAATGATTAAAAAAATAGTAATTAAAAAAAGCTGTTCTGTACAAAAACAGGAAAACGTTTGCAAGCATAAGATAACTGAGGGAGCAAACCAAAAACTCGTTTAGCCTCAAGCTTTTGATTTCGCAAACAAATGACAAACATCTGACTCAAGGCTTTAACTTTAAAGAGTTAGCTTCCTTTGAATGTGAGCTTTACACAGAACATCTTGTCTGTCCCCACATAAACACAAGGTCGGTTATGAAATGTGGTTATAGTTTGAGACGATTTACAGGAACCTTTTGTTTTTAATTAATCTAGAGGGGAAGGCCTCTGGATTGGTTTTCAACCAGTTCCACATGTTCTTTGTTTACTCACTCACAGTCACACACGATTAAAGGCAGCTTTAAAAAAATAAAAAAATTAAAAACACAATAGTCCAGGATCTCTGGGTATGATACATTTCTAAAGAATGGACGGACGAGGGGAATGTGATTGTTTTAAACGCACTGTTTCTCATGTGGACAAGGCTTGAGTTTAGCGAGAACGAAGACGGCGTCGTTGCGATCCATTTGCCGGAGCAGCTTGGCCAGGTGGCCCACGGTCCAATCGGGGTTCCTGCTGGTGACCCCCTCCAGCACGGCTTTCAGGGGACTTTTGCTGTCCTTCATGGAGTACGTGTATGTGATCCAGGTGGCGGGGAAGGAGCAGTGGGAGGCCAGGTGCTTGGTATTCTTCATTCCTTGAGTGTCCGGATCCAACAAGATCACCAGCTCTTCCAGGACATCCAGGTTGTTCAGCACGGTCTGTAACGGCGCGGTCATGATGTCATTGCCTAAAGGAAACAAACACATCCATGATGTCAGAGGGGGAGTGAAGATAGTGGAAAAGGATGGACTTTAAAATTTACAAGAGATAGTTTAGATTTTATAAAATGTGTTTTTTGTGAAAAGATTATGAACAATTCAAAAAGAAAAAAATAAGTAGGTCGTCTGGATGGGTTCTTCTTTAGTGAAACGCTTCGTCTCTCCTTCAAGAGACTTCTTCA